TATGGTATCCAAGACCCACTGAGGGGCAAACCATTCTTCATTGGGCTCACCTGCCATAGAAACCAGTCCTCCTTTCTAAAATATAAGTATAAATAGTGTATGTAAATATCTATATATACATATATCTATAGATAACACACACACATACACAAACATACATAAAATATGGTTCAAATATAAATAAATTTATCAATAGTAAAATGAAAAAAGGTAGATGAAGAACATTAAAAATATTAGGTTAGAATACATACTAAGAATACAAATTTTAAACATTTTCCTTTAACATTAATTCTTTACAACTTTTATACCAATAAATTAATTATACCAATTAATTATGTACAAGTCTTATACCAATAAAAAAAATATAGTTGCTCAATTTTGGCTGACAGTTAACAACTTGACATTACATATTATCTAAAAAAACCTACAACTTTTACTCTTCATGTCCCTAAAAATGATACCGTGAGTTTAATGCAATAAAGCAACATTTTGCCAGTAAGACAGTGATAATCAAGATGATAATTATGTCTACTAAAGGAACAAGCGACAGAATATGTAGATAATAAACTTTAAACTTACAATTCAAAAAACATGTGGATTAAGTTTTTACATCCCCTAAGTAAAATCATAGTGAAAAAAGAAATGGTTACAGAACGAACTAAAAACAAATAAATGGAAGAAAAGTCCTACAAAATGTTTCATACTCTTCCATTTTACAAGTTAAAGAGAAATAGAATTTATGACTGATAATATGGTAAGAATAATACCTGTAATACTATAATGGCTTATTATTATAGAACTTTTCTGTATTTTAACTCTTGTCAATAAGTTTTAATTTAATAACAAATTATAATGAAAACAGTCTAGCCTTTACCTTTGATAACAAAAAAATTTCAAAAATTCTTTGTATTTTGAAGTCAATTTAAATTATTTCTACTTGTTTAGTTTCTCAGATGGAATATTATTTAGAGAAAAGACAAGTGTTATTGTTAGATATTCATGAATAAAAAGCAAAAATGGTGGTTGGGGTGGCTGGATTCCACATGGCCAGCTGCGTGGGTTGAGTACATGACCTGGCAAGTTAGAAAACAGGGTAGGTGCATGTGTGTGAGTACCCAAAAGCTCAGGAGGAGAATGGAGGACGGGAAAGTATGGCGTGGCCATCCCCCTAGGGATGTGCTCATTTGCTTGTGCTCTCTCTCTCTGTCTCTCTTTTCAGTGAATACACACACCCTACAGCAAATTAGGAAAAGCAAAAAGTAAAACCAAAAACAACCTATAAGGTTACAGACCTTCTTTCTAGTCTGTTTAGGTTTCTTTTGCCTTTCTTCTTGTGATTTTAAATTCTCTTCCTCAGAGCTGCTGCATATTTTCCGTGTTGCCTGTCTGGTTTGTCTTTTTGGAGGTTGTAAATTTATTCCAGCATCTGCTGTCCAATCAGAATATTCACTTGATGAATCACTGTAAATAAATTAAGATTATGAATGTCTAAGTATAAAAAAGGAATAGTTTTACATCATAATTGAAAGATTTTATGACAGGTTGATTTTTTTTCTAAACAAAGAGAAAGCATAAATACATAATTCTGATTATTATCTAAGTAATTTTAATGAAATGCTTTTTGTAAAATAGATGACACTAAATTAAGATATAAAAGAATCTGAAATTCATATACAAGTTACAAAGTTTCTTCAAAATAAAGATGCACCTTACTCGTGGAAATCATGAAATGAACTTATTTTAAAATTAAAATAAATATACACAGTTGTCAAGATGTAGAATCTTGGCTTTAAAAGGACTTTATTTTACAGATTAAGGAACTAAAAATGTCCTATTGACATCAAAAAGATATTAGGAGAGCCAGGATAAAATTATAGGTTTCCAGACTTTCACACCTACCTTATAATATCAGATCATTGGGAAAGTCATGATGCAATTTTTGGATAGAGAACTTTGTCATGACTTCTCTGATGACCTAATGTAAAATACTACTTTATCTCTACATAAGCCAAATTCCTACAAAAGGATAACTTCACATTAAAACCGTTGAGCAGTTTTGAGCAAATTAAAACTACCTAGTCCCAGCTGCTATGGCAAAGCAGTAACACAAGTATACTACAAGACTGGACCAATTGTGGGTTCACATCCTTGGGTTGGGCTTAAAACACTCAAGCCACACAGGCTGGTGCCTAAAATCCAAATGAGCTGGAAGGCTTAGGAAAAGGGGTCAGAGCATTAATAGATCCTATAGAGGGTGTTTCTTTCTCTTTCTCTTTCTTTTCATCAAAGTGTACTATCATAAAAAACAAACAAACAAACAACAAAACAAACCAAAAAAAAAAACAGAACTACCTGGAAGAACTTTCACTTTGCCATTCGATAACAGGATCCTCTACGGAAGCATCACTTGTGCCAACAGTTTCATCTTCCTGCAGTTAAGATACATGAATCTTATTATTACTAATTAGAAAAACACTGTCTGCTTTTTAACAATTTTTTATTCCCCCTACAACAAAGTTCTATTAAAATGTACATGATTAGAACTGACAGGTAATATACTGGTTAAAGTACTGGAGTCCCATGTGGCCAACTGTGGTTCGAGTCCAAGACCCAGCACCTTGAAATTCATGCTAAGCGTGTGTGCATGCGTGCCCAAAATCCTAAAAAGAGAATGGAGAAGGGACTGGTGTGGCCATTCCCCCTGGGGGCGTGATTTCTCATTTTCTCTCTTTTTGTCTTTCTGTTTCTCCAGTGAGTACACGCATCTTACAGCAAAAAAATCTCTCTAAAAAGAAAAAAAAGTACATGATTAGTCTTCTACCTAAATCACAAATAAGCTTACTAGGCATTTCAATTTTTCTTGCATATACTTACTATCTTATTGTAATGTAACACCTTTTCTATTATTTCAAAGACTAAATAGATTCCTTAAGCCCAAATATAACCCTCTTAAATGCTAAAAACAGTGTTTTAAAAATATCTAAATGAGGGAACCGGCAGTTAGCGTAATGGCTATGTCGCTGGACTCCCACGTAGTCGACCGCGGTTTGTGTCCC